TAAAAATAAGGGCTGGGTGTGGTGGTGCATGCCTTTAATCCCAGCACCCGGGAGGCAGAGGCAAGTGGATCTCTGTGAGGCGGAGGCCAGCCTGGTTTACATAGTGAGTTCCAGGACAACTGGGGCTACAGGGAGACCCCCTCTCAAAAAGACCAAAAAAAAAAAAAATGCGTATGAGTATCTTTCCTGCATGTGTGTGCAATGCCCTCAGAGGACAGAAGAGGGCATCAGATCCCCTGGAGTTACAGACAGTTGTGAATCTTCATGTGGGTGTTGGGAACTGAACCGGGTTCTCTGAAAGAACAGCAAGTGTTCCTACACACTGAGACATCTTTCTAGCCCTTAATTTTCTACCTTTTTAAAAATGTGTATGAGTGTATTGCCTGCATGTATGTAAGTACACCCATGTTGTGCAATGCCTGCAGAGGTCAGAAGAGGGCGTTGGATCCCCTAGAACTGGAGTTATGGATGGTTGTTAGCTGCCATGTAGGTGCTGGGAGCCAAACTCAAGTCCTCTGCAAGAACAGTCAGTGCTCTTAACTGCTGAACCATTTCTCTAGGCCCTAATTCTCTACCTCTTAAAAGTGGTGTGACCTTGGAGCCCACTCCCGCCAGGATACAGAGAGGTTGGACTCTGGGTGGTTTTCCGTCTCCAACAATTCATCCCTCCCTTCATCACAGTATCGCTGGGAATTCCCCAGTGCCTACCCAAGGGTGCTGGTCAATGCTAGGACATGAACAGTGAGTCCCAAGACTTGGAGTATCTGAGCCCCACCCCTGACTCAGTGTCAAGGCCCATTAAAGAAAGTGGCTATAGAAGTTCTAGCTCAGGGGTGAAGATGAGAGAGAGAGAGAGAGAGAGAGAGAGAGAGAGAAACACCTGAGTGAGGCGGGGTCCTGGGGTTGCAAGGAATAGCCTGGCTGATACTCACAGTTATCAGCATGCACAATCTGAAAGTTCTTGACCGAGGCCTGGGTCACCCGGCCCTGGAAGTTGAGAGTGTAGGAGCCGCTTTCTTTGTTCCAGATGGGTGGCTTGTTATGGAGTTCGATGAGGCTCTCCAGCGTCTTATTCTGCCAGCGCACCAGCAGCCCATCACTGGACTGGGGTGCCCAGAGGGAAGTGATAGGGAGAGGATGGTTAGAGGTGACTGGGCTGCTCACGACTGACAAGAAGGGTGTAGAGTGTGTGTACTGTTGTTGTTCAAAGGTCAGGCCTGGCACCTGTGGGTCCTAGGCTCAGGGAGAATGGGGCTTGTCTGGGGGTTGCCTTGGCAGGAAATGGAGAGGGCAGTTGACATCCTGCAGGAGCTCAGTGCCACGCATGTCCCAGAACCTTCCAGGAGCTCCCAACTGAGTTTGGGAGGTGGATAGGAGAGAGTGATCGAAAGCATTATCTGAGGCCTTTGAGAAGGAAACGGTCTGTAAGATGGTGCTGGTTCCATTTTTGAGTTTCCCCGTCACCTGTTCACGTTATTGGCCTGAACTGTGTCCATTCATCGTCACCTGTCCCAAGGAGTTTTCCTGACCCCCATCTGATTAAATGGCTCCCACAACACAGAGATCTTACTGATCCCCATTTCCCTTGAAGGGATGTCGGCAAGCACTGTATGTTATTAACACACCCGTGCCTTGGTCTCCCTTACAACAGGGAGCTGTGAGGTGTGGATAAGCCAAAAGCACACCGGGTATTATTTAGAGGAGCTCTGGGACAGGATAGGTGCTCAGTAAACAGAAGATGGTGGTATTATTATTATTATTATTATTACTATTACTATTGTGTGTGGTGGATGTATTTGTGGGTGTGGGTATGTATGCAAGTGTGTGCATGTGTACAGGTCAGAGATTGACACCAGGTGTCTTTTTCAACGGCTCTCTACCTTATTTATTTATTTATTCATTATTTGGCCTAGAACTCGCTATGTAGACCAGGCTGGCCTCCATCTCACAGAGATTTTAAAGATTTTTTTGAAATTATGTGTACGTGGGGGTGAGGAGGAGGTACACATGAGTGTAGCGCCTGCAAAATCCGGAAGAGGGTGTTGGATCCCCTGAGCTGGAGTTACAGGTGGTTCCATCAGGTTATGAAGCACCTGATGTGGGTGGTAGAAACCAAACTTGGGTCCTCGGCAATAGCAGTATGTGTTTTTAACTGGTGAGTCATTTCCCCAGCCCTGTTTGTTGTTTGTTTGAGACAGGTCACGGGTAACTCAGGCTGACCTGGAACTTGCTAAGTAGCCAGGCATGACCTGATCCTCCTGCTTCCACCTTCCACGTGCTGAATTCAATGCAGGACTTGATATCAACTGTGGAAGACTGAATTAAACACAAAGAATCTGAGTTCATCCCACAAGTGACCAGAAGGGATCTGTAAGAAGCATGCTCAAAACGTGGTGGTGCACGTCTTTAGTCCCAGCACTTGGGAGGTGGAGGCAGGTGGATCTCTGTGAGTTCGAGGCCAGCCTGGTCTACATAGCAAGTTCCAGGCTACAGGCATCCCCTATCCCTGAAGTGGGTCAGAAGAGAACAGGCCCTCTAGGACAGGAGTCAAGAAGTAAGGGGCTCACATTTCGGGGCCGGATAGGGACCCTCTCGTTGTCTGAGCTCATGCCAGGTATGATGATGGTCATGCGCCGGGGTCCTCGGAAGCCTAGCATGTTGGTTTCCTGGGAGGGAGATGCGTATCAGGCTACATCCTAGCTGAGGAGGGCCTGGCACGCTGGGGGCGGTGGCCTCTCACATAGATCACAGCTGCCAGCTCCTGGCGCAGGTTCTCCACGTCAGTACCTCTTCTGCCTCGCTGTGGGTTCTGCCCGTTGTCAAAGACGGTGAAGCGGTTCCCTAGGAGGTTGGCCCTGCAGGCGGGGAAAGGGTTGGACCACAGTAAGGGGGTGCCACCACGGCCTCCCAGTTGAAGACTAAGGGATGGTGTGGGTCTTAGGACTTGAGCAAGTCATGTCCCAGATCCAGGCTTCCCTGGAAAGACAGGAGATCTTCAAAAATTATTATCATCATTTTTAATATTTTATTTTATGTGTATGAGTGTATTGCCTGCATATATGTAAGTGCACCTGTGTCATGCAGTACCCATCAAGGTCAGAAGAGGGCATTGGATCCCCTGGAACTGGAATTAAAGACCGTTGTTAGCTGCCATGTGGGTGCTGGGAATTGAACTCGGGTCCCCTGCAAGCGCAGACAGTGCTCTTAACCACTGAGGCATCACTGCAGTCCTATCGTTATTATTTTTGAAACATGGTCCAGCTGTATGTTTGGGTTGGCTTTGCACTCTCAATCCTCCTGCCTCAGCCTTCTGAGTTACTGGGATGACAGGTGTGTACCACCACAACTGGCCTGGGAGATGCATCTTTAAAAAGTGCACCTTAGCCAGGCATGGTGGCACACGCCTTTAATCCCAGCACTCGGGAGGCAGAGGCAGGCAGATCTCTGTGAGTTCAA